AGGGCAGGAAGTTAATACATGGATCATCATAGTGCCTATTTTCCTTGATGTTTGCTTTCTGATGATGCTTTGATAAGTGAAAGAAGGATTCCAGCTCTGCCCTACGCTCTGTCTCTGCTCTATCATACTTGTTTCCCTGAGGCTCAAACCGAACTGCAAACAGTATTGGATTCATGCTGAATCTTGTGTTGGTGCTGTGGGCTGCATTTCCATCACGACAAAGCGTGGTGAATCCTTTGCTCATTGAGGTTCCTCCGTGACAGAGTCTCATGATAATCACTCCCAGGCATGCCTATCAGCAACTGCTCCTTATTTGTCTCTTTTTACTTGCTTGTACCAGCACTATATAAGCATAAAATGTCATTTGAGGAAGGGAACTCTTTGTAACTCCGCTGCCCCCACCCAAATGAATACATAAGGGCCAGTCAATGGAAAGCTCTTTTATCCTCTGCTCCATGGCAGTTCAACTGCCCTGCTTGAATGAATTTTTGTAGTTGAAGCTGGTTGATAGTTAGTTTTCAGGTAGGTGTGCAAGACCTCAGAGTAAGCAGCTAATTTTTCTTCATACCAGAAAAGAAGATTTTAGTGATAATAGTAACATTCCTATACACAAAATGAAGTAACATAACCATACAGGAAGAAAAACAGGTGTTCAAACCTGATATTAATAAATATAAGAGAGTTTATATAAACTATTTTGAATCCAAATAAAAAAAGAAATTCAAACGAAGTTGTTTTGTGAACAAACTTGAAAAATAGGCAACTTGTATTTGTAAATACCATTGCAGTAAATGTTGCTGATGAAATGCAGTACCCGTAGCTGACTTGTGAAGGGTAGCCAGTAAGTTTGTAAGATCATGGTCTAGCTTGAAGTGTAGTGTATTATCAGCCCCAAGATCATTTGGCTGTAAATTACAGTTTTTTATATCCAGTCTATATCTTCCCCCCATTTTAATTTGAAACTGTTTTCCCTTGTTCTGTCAAACAGATCCTGCTAAAAACCGTCCCCTTATTTCTTATAGCCCCACTTTAGATGCTGAAAGGCCGCTCTCAGGTCTCCCTCCCCTCTCTTCTCCAGACTGGACGGCCTCAACTCTGTCAGCCTGACCTCACAGGGGAGATGTTCCATCCTTTAGATTATTTTTGTGGCCCTTCTCTGAATGCACTCCAATAGGTCTGTGTCTCTCCATTACTGATGACTCTACATTTGCTGTACTCCAGGAGAAATCTCACCAGCACAGAGTAGAGAGAGTAGCAGGGAGATTAGCTCCCTCGTCCTGCTGATCGCACTTCTTTTGATGCAGCCCAGGATACAGTTGGCTTTCTGGGCTATGAGAGTGTATTGCTGGTTCATGTCCAGCTTCTTATCCACCACTACCCCCAGGTTTTTTTTCAGTAGGGCTTTGCTCCATCCTTTTGTCCCATGGTTTGTATTGATAGTGAGGGTTTCCACAACCCAGTACACAACTTTGCACTTGATTTGCTGAACCTCATGAGTTTCACCTGGGCCCACTCTTTGAGCCTGTCTAGATCTATCTGAATGGCATTCCATCCCTCGGCCGTGTTGATCTCACCATACAGTTTGATGTCCTCTGCAAACTTGAGGGTGCACTTGATCCCACTGACAATTTAGTTGTTGAAGATATTGAAGAATGTTTGTCCAGTACTGACCCCTGAGGGATACTTGTCACTGATCTACATCTGGACATGGAGCCGTTGACCACCACTCTCTGGGTACAATCTCACAACCTGTTCCTTATCTGTCAAACAGTCCACACACACACACACACACACACACACACACACACACACACACAAAATAAATAAAAATCCATATCTTTCTAATTTGGAGAGGTGAATGTTGGGCAGGTCAAAGGCCTCACTGAAGTCCAGACAGATGTTAACAGCGGCTCTTACCTTGTCCATTATGCACCACTGTAGGAGGTCACTTTGTTGGTCAGGCAAGGCCTGCCTTTAATGAAGCCACGCTTGTATGTATCTCTTAACTATCCAGATTTCTTGACTTCAGTACAATTCCTTTCTTTCAGCTACCTTAAGCTAAAGTTTGCTATGCTTTTATGTGAGTTTTTAATTTCATCCAACTAGCATCTTACCTAACTTGTCTGCCACTCAGATGAAATTTTAATATGAATTTCAGAGGATGATTACTTTTTGGTAATCTGTGATTAAAATAGCAGAAGTCTACAATGGAATTTTTCCATAATCAGTGTATCAGAATGAATGAATGAAACAAATTTCAGTTGAAGAGGCGCTAGAACAGCTGAAATCTGATAAGTCTGGCTGACCTCTTTATGACTTTGATGAGAACATCAGAAACCAATTTTGCTTTTGCAATGATGTTTTGTAACAGGAAAAAAATCAACCGTGCTCTATGATTGTTAGCAACTAGAATGTTCATGGTCTGCTTCTAAGATGTTAAATGACTATAAAATTAATAACTGTTTGCTTTACCTTCGCTTAATATAAGCGTAAGTCAGTTAGGCGATGGTTTCTCTGCAGAATCACGTTGACCTGAGCAGTAGAGAACCATGAGTTTGAAAGATCCGTTTCATGTTCTTTATGTGGTATCTTTTCACTCGCACATGGAAGTGAAAACCTGTAGGAAAAGTACGAGATTCAAAGAAAGAATTCTGGGAACTTATCACTTAAGAGACCTGAGAAATGGATGACTAGAAGCTGCAAAATAAAGCCTGGGATTGTAAGACGGCCAGTGAAATCTCAGTACATTATGAATTAGAACAGTATGACAGCGTGTTTTGTTTTCAGGAAATTATGGTCTCAATTGAGTAAGTAAGGCTTCTCAGACTTTTTGGAGTTACCCTGCACAACTGTATCTCTACATGTCTGCCTCTCTACATGGGAGTATTCCTAGAACTCTAGGCTCTGAAATCCCACTTTCCCATGAGGTATCCTTGAGTTATTTTATTAAAAACATGCAAAACTTCTTCCTGTAAAGAAAACCTTGAGCTGATAGAATGTAAAAGCTCAGAAAATGTAAAAGCCAGATAAGAAAACACATACGCATGCATTTACATACATATATATTTAGGAGACAATAATGCTACATGATATTTTAAGATAGTTTGGTGATTATGTTGCAACCTGACTTAATTTTGTAACCTTACATTTTACAAATCTGTTGATTTCAGTGAAGGTTCAAATGGAAGACAGCAAACACCATTTTATTGCAGAAACGGAGGCAAGCTGGACTGTTCCTTTTTTGAAATTTTTACTGAATAGTCTTTGAATTCATTTTTGCCTAAAAGGAAGAATTTAGTATAAGAGTTTGATTTTACTATTTATGGCTTTTTTTTCCCCCCCCCATATTCCTCCACTTAAGTTTGTTTAAATTAGTAGTAGGCAAATAGCTAGAGGTTTATATATTGCCTGGAAGTACTAAATAGGCAAAATCTTATGATAATTTTACTCTCTGACTATTAAAAAGGCAGGGAGGAATAAGAGACAAATCGCATAGAATTGATATTTCTCTCTTTCTGGGGAGAGGAAAAGAAAAGAAAAGAAAAGAAAAGAAAAGAAAAGAAAAGAAAAGAAAAGAAAAGAAAAGAAAAGAAAAGAAAAGAAAAGAAAAGAAAAGAAAAGAAAAGAAAAGAAAAGAAAAAAGCCACTGTGGTTTAATTCTAATATTACCTGTGTTGAATTTATAGCAGGTAAAAGTCAGTGGAGGAGTTCCTTCACCATGTACAGTAGCATAAGGTTAGGAAGGAGTCCTGTATGTTAAAACACTGTGTGTAAGTAAATACACACTTCTGGGTACACTGAATCTCTTTGTCTGTGCATATTCAAGTGCATATATTTCACAGCTCCTGTCTGCATCATTCACTTCCAAAACCAGCATGCATTCATTTTCATAACTTTTTCTTCTACTACAATATTAATGGGACTATCAATGGGAAGGGACAAGAGAAGCATTTTTAATGTTTATCTGACAGTTGCAAATTTCACTTGAGGTTGTTTACTGGGATCTGATTGTTGGCAAAGAGGAGTAGGGAAGGCAGCAAGATGAATGGGATCACGGGAAGAAGAGATGTATTTGTAGGCCCTCTTAGTAACATCTAAGAGTAATAAAAAGTCCTGTCTTATTCCTCCTTTACTAAGGCTTAAGTTTTAAACAGTAAAAAATGAGAGATTGTTTTAATTAACTTCTGTCTAATCCAGGCAGCCTGTTTAAACTGAAATATTTTGCATTTAGGTATATGAAAATTAGGTGAAGGTCTTTGTGTGTATATGTTCATTAGTTCCTTTATGGGAAAAGATGGTTGGATGTGAGGGAGAGTTTGCAGACTTGCAGATGAACTTGTAATGTGATGTCAACTGCTTTTGACGTTCAGTTCTGGGACTATATGGAGGGGAGCTTATTTCTTATGGGAAGAGTTGAAGCTTCTCCCAGTTTTGCTTTGCAGTTTTACAGCCCCTGAGTTTTATAGATCTGGATGTTGTGCCTCCAATTTTTTCATCACTGCAAACATTTTTCTTTCAACAAGAAAAAAAAAAGAAGAAGAAAGCAACAACCAATGGTCTTGAAGTTCTGCTTCTTTGTCCTTTTAGTTTGTGCTTTGAAATGTTTATCTTTAGGTCTCATTTTTTTCAACCAGAAATGCAGAAAGACTAACTGTTTTGATGTTTCAGTTTTGAGTTTTTTCATAACTGCACAGTGTTACCAGCCAGTCTTTAAGAACAGAATCAAATATTGATAAACTGTAGACTACACAGTGTTGTGTTCAATCTCACCTTGTCTATCACAGGTGGCTGCAGAAATAGAAATGTTTCAAAACTAGGTAGCTAGCTGAGCTATTTGGGAAAATGGGCTGTTCTAACTGAGGAAACAGTTGTAGAAGAGTATGTGACTGTGAGGAGTAGGTTTAATTTTCCATGCAAAATGAAATCCAAAATAATTGCTATGTAGATTTGAATTGCTAGATACAGTTCTTGAATTCTTCTCTCCCTGTTTTTCTCAATAGGCCTGAGTCTTTTGGTGAATTAAATCTTCATTGATGAATCTTGTCTGGCACAGCTGAGAAGCCTTGATGATGACTTAAACCACTCCTATGAAGCACCATGGCAGTTCTTTTCTTTTCAAGTGAAAAATAGTAATTTTCCACAGGAAGCAGGTATGTTCCACAGCATTTTAATTATGTAAATGTAACTGATTTGGGGGAAGAATGGGAAGAACTTCCAGTTTTCAGTATGTAAAAAAATAATTGTCACAAGAAATGAATTCTTACTGTGTTTTGAAATACCAGAGTAAGGGAACACTAAATCTGGGAAGTGTCATTCATAAAACCCTTGGAATGGAAATCAAGCTGCAAAATGGTGTTCTTAGTTGTAATGGGTGGTTTCTAACATTTGCTACCTAGAGAGAGGCAAAGGTATCAGCAGAGACTGAACCTGGTGATTCCACTTACTGTTTATTAATTACCAGCACTCATTTCTATTCAGTGTCAAGTTTGGGTTAATTACAGTAAGGTTGCTTTCAATTGTTAGGTTACTTTCTTTGTTAATTACTGTTGGGTATTCCCTGTTGTCACTGCCCTCAGCCCTGTTTATTTCCTGCAAAATCCAAATTCACACTGAGACTAAGGAAGTGTGGATCTATACTTTATTAAAAAGTCAGTGTAGCAGCCTTGTTGCACTTCTATTGTCTAAGGCTTTCTCTGCATTTTTAACCAGAAGAATGTAGGTTGAGAGCATCCCTGTCCGCATGTCTCTGCTATGCTACTTCACACAACAGGCAGTGCAGTCTTAGCATACCTCCACGTGCAACTCTTCTCCTGCAGAACCTCTGCTGGCTGTCTTCAGAGCAGGAATCTCTGCATACAAGTCCTGTGCTTTCATTTAATACTATTTGGGTAGTATCATCTCATTTACTGACCAACTGACTGATGGAGCCAAAACCTACAGATTGGCCATTGGACCCCAGTTTTTCAAAGTGTGACAGCCTTAGCAAGCTACCATCATAAAAGTAGCATCAGCAAGCCCTTTATCTCTTGTAAGCAACTTGTCTACCTTCTTACTTCTAGATCATTGCATCTATCTAAACTGAATCCTCTTAGATGGATTTAGTGTGTCCTTTTGTCATTAATATGGCCATGCTGCACGTAAGACAGCCTCGTATATTGGGCTAACCATTAAATTTAAAGCCCAGAATTTACGTGTTTAAAAACACCTGGCAGGGAAATAAAATGATCAGTATTTAGAAAAAGCAAGTATCCTGTATCACAGTTGTGAGACACGAAAGGAAGCAACTATAAGGGGAGATTCACTACACTCCTATTTTCAGAAATTCTAAATAAATGTAAATTATTGTCACCAGTGAGTTAAGTTGGCAATATTCAGATGTATTCCTCTGATTTGCATGGTTGGGAAAGGAAGAAATTTTGGAGCATAGTAAAGTTTTTCCAGAAACCACAAGCTTCTTTTCCCTGTCTGCTTGGAGAAAATGTAAATGTGTTTCCTGGTGATTGTCCAGATGATAGCCTCGTCGGCATTCCACCAAACGGCCACCTGTCTGCCTGTAATAAATGATGGCTATAAAGTGAAGTGATTGCAGCTGTGATACAGCCAGAGGCATTTGTTTATATTCTTATAATATGTATCAGATTGAATAGAAATTATCACTTACAATTGACAAATGGAGAGTGGAGATAGTTGGTGGGTATGAGAAAGCTCAGCCGGAGCTGGGCCAGCTGCAAACTTTCTTTGGTGAGGGCTGCAGAATGCAGGTGTTGAGCCAGCCAGTGATTAATGGTGTGGCTGGATGCTCACTTGTGTTAATGATCCACATGTCTTTGGATCGCAGCACATGGTCCAGAAAGTTGCTTCTCAGAAAGGAGCCCAGTGAGTAGAATCTGCAATTTTGAGGTTGGCATGTGTAAGTAAGTAAATGGTGGCCAGATTAGAGAAGTATTCCTGAGTATTTCATCAGGAGAAAAGTATTGTTCTGTAGTGTTATCCCTCAGTGTCTAAGTAGTGTACAAAACCAGGACTGCTGAATCTAATCAGAGCATCCCTGACTAGATGCATTATATATTATTATAACAATATGCTGTTAATTAAGCAGGGGAAATGTCTGTTCCTTAGACCTCTTTCTGACCATAAGAGTGGCTTATATTACTAGTTTCCTGAATTACTGTGAACGGCTTTTATTTGTCTCTGTGTAGACACAGAACTTTCTTTTCTACACTGAGAATCTGACTATGTCCAAGTAAAAAAAAAACTTCGGAACTGATCACTGGAAAGATCTGTACACTGCAGATTTGTAAACAAGCTAAATGTTTTAGATTACCAACAGCATTTATCCCTTTGCTAAGTCTTGAGAGAGAAACTGGAGCCGAAGAAAACTCTCGGACCAAAGATGGAAAAGGAAGACAAGCAATACCATCACTACTCTTGACATAAATTTGAAAGTAGACTGAACAAATCTCTAGAAGCTACGCAGCTGGTAGATGTGGTAATCTAAGTGCCCTGCACAAACTGTTTGTCTTTTTAAAAAGTCTACATGTGAAAAACTGTATCTGTGGGTATCTGTAGTGACATGCCAATTCTTTTTTGTTGTCTGAAGCTAGTTGGAAGTGGAGACACTGAAAGAAATCTAGTAGGAGTGACTAAGGAAGCAAAGTGCAAGCAGCAGGAGTGTTGTAGTTCATATCAGTTCCATCTGTTGAGCGTGTGTCCCATTTTGGTATGAAACAATAAAGGTAGTATCAAAGTCCGCAGATGTTTTGGAGAAGAAAAAATATGGGATATGCAGCAAGCTATAGCATAGAGTTAAACATCCTCTTACCCAATTTTTCCTTTCTGAAAATGTTCCACCATGAGTGTTTTGTGTGTCTATAGAATACAGAGCTGATTTGAATGGAAGCTCAAAATGAGCAAGGCCTAACACATAGCTTCTGCCAGAAGTGAGAATAGATTCTGTTGTTAGCTGTCTTTTTGCTCATCTTTCTGTTTTCTGAAGTGCTGGCTAGTACCTGGAGAGGCAAACTATCCTCTAATTTTTTGCAGTCTTGCCCTAAATATATCTTTTCAGCTTGGTAGAAAACATATGTCCCAAATCTTTGAGAATTTGAACTCCTGCTGATTGGTAAGTTCAGGGAGTGCTGCCACTCAATCCTGTGCAAGGACTTTCAACTTGGAAAGAAGTGCTCTCTTAATTACCTGCTCAGAAACTGCGTTACTATGAGGAAGAGAGTTAAACGTGAGTTGGATAATTGAAAACACTAAAAAAAAAAAAAAAAACGTCAATTTTATCAATTTCTTCTAATTCATTAGCCCCAGTGATGGCTGTTACGTTTGGTTTCCTTGTCAGCAGAAGAAGCCATTGGATGAACTCATTTTTCTTGTGCTGCTAACATCTAAAAGGCAAATGATGCTTTGTCTGACTTCCATGGGATGACAAACTGTTCTGTCTGCAGATCCACTGGCTTTGGCTTACTTTCTTGTCTTACATTTCATTCCACATCATGCATTTGTGCAGTGAGAAAGCTTCTTGCCAGAGATCTGGCTTAGAACGTGCTATTCTGCTCACTGATGCCTGGTCTTGCTAGGACAGACAGTTCCTTACAAAAGTTCATGAATCATAAATGCATGATGTGATCAGTACAACTCTCCTGTATTGAAATTTCAACAAACAGCTTGCCCAAGCAAGTAGGAGGTTGAGCTGGGTACATACATGCACTGCAAGTCCTGCTGTGTCTATCGGTACATTGCTTTCAGGTGTTTTGTGACCAGATGCTGGCACTCTAAATCTCTAGAACAGTAGTTTAGATGTGTTTCTGTTTGTGAAGCATTGTTCAACAGTAGGAAATGATTTTTATCCCTTTGTTCAGAATGATGTGTTTGCTTTAGCTTTAATGTCACAGCAGTGGTTTGTATTCCTGGTTCTGCTACTGAGAACTCAATATTGGTCTCAGTTACAGTTTTCAATGGGGCAGTGATGCCTTCTGAAACTATTCCAAAATCTTCAGGCATGTAAACAATGATTTGTGAGGAAAAAAACCTACTAGTCTTAATGAGAAAAGAGTAACTCAAAAATCCCTGTCCTGGTTTCTTATTAGTTTTGCATTTCAGAAAGTTGAATTGTCCATGTAAAGCTTATAAATGCAGAGCTTTGACACTTATTTTTAATCTAAAAGTGCTCTCTGTAAGAAAAAGCTGTTTATTACTGTAGCTTTACCATAACTTCTTTATCTATTACATTCACCAGCTCTTGTCCTCATTTAATCTAAAGGAGCATAGGACCAAGTTCTGAGGGGGAATGTATGGCAGGCTGCATTTATCTGTTAATGTCTGGTACTGGGAAGAGAGGAGGTACTTGTAACTTTGCTTAGTGCCTAAATGCCACTTTATCGTGGTATCATAAATAAAGTCTAGTTGGCAGGTCCTGATGCCTATAAAAACAAACAAACAAAAAAACACCCCCAAAAACACGTAACAAAATGGGAAACCTTTCCTGTTCTTCAGTGAGTCACCTCCTGATGGAACATAAGTGCTCTGAAGCTCACTGCTGTTGCATTTTTCTGACTGGTATTTAATTAATTACATAGTTTCTGCAGTTTCAGTGTAGCCATGCTTACTTGCTAAACTCAGTAGCGTCCTGTATGTTCTTACTTTGTTCTCTTGTAATTGAAATTGAAAGTATCTAATGTCATGTTCATTTATGATCACTTATTTTCATTCATTTGAGCTAAAGGAACATTTAATATGAAGTAGAAATAGATAACAGGCAGTGAGAGCATATCTCAACAGTATAGGGTGCTAAATTTATTAAACACTGTGAACTCAAATTAGTAAAGTTTCAGAAGATACTAAAGACCGTGAGCTATATTGATTATGTGGCTGAACCATGGATATTTTTATACGTGCAAAGGATTTCCTTTCCACAGAATCACAGAATTGCAGGAGCTGGAAGGGACCTCGAGATCATCAAATCCAACCCCCCCGCCAAAGCAGGTTCCCTACAATAGGTCACACGGGTAGGCAATCCAAACATGTAATTTCATATGTTCAGAGAAGGCATCTCCACAACCACTCTGAGCAACCTATTGCAGTGCTCCTTCACCCTTAGCATAAAGACATTCTTCCACATATTTGTACAGAAGCTCCTACGTTC